TAATAATAATAATAATAATAATAATAATAATAATAATAATGACAATGACAATAATAACAATAATAACAACAGTACTGATAACAGCAATAAGCCATTATTATCCAGTATTATAACTGCCATTTATTTATTATTATTGTTACCATTATTATTGCTGTTATTGTTATTACTATTATTACTGCTGTTGTTTTTGTTGCTGTTATTACTTAACAGTAAGTTATTATTATTAAGCAGAATCAAAAAAAAAAGAAATTCTTGATTTGCTTGACAATTTCCTCCGTCTTTTGTTATTCCCCCTCCTATCTTCCTTTCTCCCTTTTCTCCCGCTGGGAATAATTTTCCGTTTCGTGCACGAATGCTTCGCCACCGGAAAGGAGAAGAAGAGGGGAGCTTTGCGCTTAAATTTCACGCCAATTGTGTGGTAGAAACAAAAATTCGAGTGTATAGCGATTAAACAAAGTATCGAGAGCTGGAAAACTTGCGTAAGCAGAATGGCAGTAGCACGCCACCCAACGCAGCGTGGCGTGCTCTGGGGTAGCGCCCATGGGTACCTACTTGACGCAGCAGGACGCGCATCTCCCGGGGACGAATGATGTGAACTCTCACAAAGAGCAGCACCTTCCATTGCCCACAAAAACTCTCCCCGCGGGATCATTGAGAAATTTTTCCGCCAAAAATTTTAAGTGCTCGTACGTAAGAACCACGCATACCTCAAGGCTGAATTTGAACTTGTGATGCAAGACGCTGCCGACAAAATACCCCCCACAGAACCCCAAAATTTCACCGCCCAGAAATGGCCAATTTGATGACACATGGCAAGGGGCTCACGTAAAGCGGGAAATACGTGCAAAACTGAAAATGAAGAAGCGTGCGTTAAGTTCATAAAATACACACACACACACACGTAAACAAACGCACACACAATGTACATGTACATATTAACGCACATACACACATGCAAGCACATACGCACATACACGTACATACAAAAAAACACACACATACACATCCACGCGCACATGCACACATACATCTGCCGACACGCACAGACACACACACACACATACACTTACAAACAAACAAACACGCACGGACGCAATAATCACATGCGTAACTTTTTTCCCGCGCGATCCGCTCATTTGAATCTGGCCGATTTCAAAAAATGCACGTAGGTGTTTGGCAGCTTACGAGCGAGTCACAGAACGATTTTGAGGTTTCGGCGAGGAGGAGATGGCGATCCCCTTGCCTTTTAAGGTGAAAAAACGTTAACATAGCCCACGTTGGAGGGATATAGTGGGAGGAAGTTGATTGAAACTGAGTAAAAATTGATTGAGTGAGCTAAACTCAGTTAAAATCTGTTGAAACTGAGTCAAATTTGAGTTAAAATTGATCAAAACTGAACTGACTTGATGCTAAATTGAAAACGAATGAGATTGAGCAAAAATTGATCGAAATTGATTCAAACTGAGTCAGATTTGATTAAAATTCGGGCCGGCTAAGCCGAAATTGCTTGAAACAGGCCAAATATTGATCGAAATCGAGTCATACTGAGTTAAAACCGATTCATTTGAGTAAAAATTAATTGAAACCGAGTTAGATTCTGTCAAAATCAGCTGAAACCAAGGTCAAAACCGGAAAAAAATTATCTGAAACTGATTCATGTTTACGCGAATTTAACTGAACCTGAATCAGGTTGAGTTAGATCTGATTGAAGCTGAATAAGACTAAGTCAGATTTGATTAAAATCCGGGTCGATTAAATCGAAATTTTTTGAAACAGAGCTAGTTAAAATTGAGTTAAAATTAATTGAAATTAATTAATTGAAAATTGAGTTAAAATTAATTAGTTGAGTTATAATTAATTGAAACTGAGTTAATGCTCTTCCAAAATCAACTGAAACCAAGGTCAGAAACGAAAAAAAAAAAAAATAATCTGAAACTGACTTATGTTTACGCGGATTTGATTGAGCCAGAATCATGTTGAGTTGGGTCCGACTGAAACTGAATATCAGACAGAGTTAAAACTAATTAATATAGATTCATATATACGTATGCATATATATATATATATTATCCGTATTTATGAACGAATGTGTATATGCCCATGTGCGTGGTCTGTCTCTAAGTCGTCTGCTCAACATTAGCATTACTTCCATATAGCCATTCTACACAGAGGACGGAAAAATCAGAAACCTAATTGTTTAAAAATAAATCGTCCTCCCAACTTTCTTCTATCTATACATAACTTTCTCGTCTTCCCTGCTTTCTAATAACTCTATTCTTATGCTCTAATAACGCACACTCATCATGTGTAAGGCCGGTAGGAGGCTGTACTGATGATTCTTACTTCTACCCTATGCTAGATACGGTTTTTGTTTACAGCTAAGGAATGAAACATTGACTGCATCCAAACATGTCTTCTTGCATGCGTTACATTATCTGATCCCTTAGCTCCTATCCGTGGAGATTGTGAGTGAATTTTGCTGTTGCTGCATCAGCTAGTGCTCAGTCTGCTTCCGGTCATCTTGTCCTTCGTTTATTTCCTTCCTTCAAATGCAAAACATATCCTTTCGCCGCTTCTTCTGCGGTCATTTAACTGTGCAGGCCACAGGCAGATCTACGACGGACTCCTGAGGAAGGAGAAGGG